TGTGTCAACGGCGGTCGCTGCAACCCTGGTACCGGCCTGTGCGTCTGCCCCACCGGCTGGGTGGGCGAGCAATGCCAGCACTGCGGGGGCCGCTTCAGGTGAGTGGGGGTGGTGTTGGAGGGTCGGGCCCAGCTGGTGGCTGGGGCCGAGGGGCGCTCGAGACCGTTCCTCGCCAGAGGCGAAGGCTGGATGGAAAGTGGGTAGGGTACGGCGGCCCCACTGTGTTTGATGGCCATTTGCTTCCGGAGAGATCAACGTCTCCGGCCTGGGGTCTTCCTTTGGTGGAAGGCGAAAAGGTGTGAAGCGGTAGTGAGGGCACTCCAAAGGTGCTGTGGTCTAGATTGGAAGAATGCTCAGGGTCTCTATATCAAAGCCAGTGTCCTAAGCTGGATTTATTTCCCAAAGGAGATTATCAAGGAAAATGAGTAAGCCAGTTCTTAAATACTTCTTTTTTAACATCCCCCTTTGCTATAGGGCCTGGTGAGTTCCCTTGACTGACTGGTGGAGTTACGGGGATCTTTTAAAGAACAGGGCCCTGGAAATGATTTGTTGGCTGGAGATAGAAGGGAGAGGGGAGTGTTGTGAGAGTTTTAGGGATAGAAGAATCAGTGGTTGTTGGTGAAGTAAGGAAGTTAGCCTTTTGAAGCTCACTGGTAGTAGCATAGTCAAATAGGGGCTGTCGGAGAGGGGATGGAAGGAGATTTCTGTTTTCCCTGATTTCTGGACAATATAGAGTTTTGAGTTGGCTTGGTTTGGGACAGTACCTTTTTAGAGAGATTATTTAATATCAGTTACCTATTCTGCTTCAGTTGTGCAAGGGTTTCTGGATGATACAAATAGATTAGCCAGACTTTGGCCTTGTCCACAAGGAGTTTGGAATGCAGCAAGAGGAAGATATGTGTACAAAAACCCTAGTCATGAGGACTAGGGTCATCCATGCATTTGGCGCGTATTTACTGAGTATCTTCAGCATCTGATATGAAGGAGCAAGGAAATGTGAACAAGAAAGGTAGGGTTCTTGCTCTCACGGATTTTATGTCCTAGTGGGAATGATAGGCGGTTAACGTAAATAAATGAGAAAGACAACTTCAAATAATGGTAAATATTGTCAGTAAAATAAAACATCTGATAAAGAACTATAAGCATCCAGCAACTTTAGAAGAAGCCACTCAGTTAAAGTGCCATTTGATCTGAGACCTGATGAGGCACTGGAGGGCCTGTGGGATAGTAAGGAGTAAGAAGAGTTGACTATCTGAGAGATACATGGACAACTTGAAGGGGAGGGTAACAATGGATTTGAACATATGAGGCTAAGTAGGATTTGGAAATGTGGAGCTGGGGGGAAAATGCCAGGTAGCAGAAAGGATATAACGTTGTGGAGACCAGAAAGCAAAGTTTTACTGGTGCCTGTGTAGAAGAGAATTATGAGGGAGAGATTTGGAATGGTAAAACCATACACTCAGGTAATGTCTGATTTTCTAGGGAACTGAGAACATTGAGGAGATGAATTCTTAGTTTTCTGGATGGAGAAACAAAGTGATTTTAGGAGCAGTGTGTAGTGGGCTGGTCTTGTAACTTAGGATGTTCTGATTTATGAATTTAGTTTTGTTTACAAAAGTTAAGGCTGTGGAATTGAAGAGCAGAGGACACAAGACTTGGCTTAGTTTGGAATGGGTGTAAGGTTAGTCACTAATTTGATTTGAGATAGTTTTGCTGTCTGAGTGGTAGAGTGTTGAGGGGCATCGTGGGCAGAGCTTGGTGAATGAATGGTATCGTGACAGGCTGGAGAGAAGGCTGAAGCAGAGAGAACTAGGGGGAGTATGCTGGCAAGAGTGGAGAGGTGCCAGCCAGGCCGAACATTTCTCAGCATTTTGACCTTTAGCCCATGACTGGTGGAATGGCACACCTCACTCTTGTTTTCATGACATTGTAGGTTTTTAGGTTGGAGCCAGAGCAGAAATGGCCTTGAAGATGAGGCCAGAACATTTTCAGTTTGAAGCACTTCCAAGATCAAGTGAATGGTTGGGTCCCAGGAGAGTCCGTCAGGTTCTGAAAATCTGGGACACCATGGTAGATAATGGTATTCACAAGGTGGGAAAGAGTATTCATAGCATGTTTAGTCTGTCAGTAATCTTTAGAATGGGTGGACTCACTTTGGGGATGAAAGATGGTGGGCAGCTTGGTGGAATCTGTTGGTGTGGGTCAGGATAGTGTTAATGAGAGCCTGAGAGAAGCAGAGAGACCGGAGACAGGGACTGATGCTGCCTTGTGTCATAGAGGTAAAATGGGCAATGCTTCTTTGAAGCTGGTTTACTTTTTGGAAGAGGGAGGGCTATGATGAGAGAAAAAAAAAACTATATCCATTTTGCTGATTGAGTGGTGCCACTAACTAACATACAGGAACATAGGGGGAGATAGGATGAGAAAAGTTTGATTTGGGATGCACTTGAGTTTGAGGTGCTCTTTGGATATGCACCTGGCTCATGTATATGCTGGAGTCATCAACCTTTGAGGGGGATTGCTGGTGAGAGAGACAGTTCTGATTGTCCATATGGACAATTTAGAGAATTAGAGAAGAGTCATTTGTAATGGGGGAACTGACAACTCCAGACATTGATTGTCTCAGAGGGTGTCATATACAAGTGAAGGGGCACCCCTGGCTATTGTGGAAACACCCTATGAATTGGTACTAGCTGACTTCAGTGCTGATGTAGTTATGACCAGTTTTAATGATACCATTATATTAAATAGCTTCTGGAATTTGCATTTAAAAAAAGTGAAAACAGGAGCAAGTTGTGTCTCTGGCTTTTTTTCCCCCTCCAGAACTGGGGATTGGATCCAACAAATTGTGAATGCTAAGTGAGTGAACTGCCACTGAGCTACATCCCCATCCCTTTTAAAATAGAGAGGGTCTTGCTGAATTAACCAGGCTGGCTTTGAACTTGTGATCCTGTTGCCTTGGCCTCTCAGTTATTAGGCCTACACTACACCACCATGCCTGGCTCTAGTCTTTTATAAAAACTTTTTTTTTTGGATGAACAGTGTCTTAGTCACTTTCCTCATCCCTGGGACAAAATACTCAACACTTGCAACTGAAAGGAAGAGTTTTATTTTGGCTCACAGTTTGTAGAGGTTTCAGTCCATAGTTGGCTGGCTTCAGCGCAGAAGTGGCATGGTGGAAGAGCCCAAGCAGAGGAAAGCAGCTCACCAAATGGTAGACAGGAAGCAGAGTGACAAAGGAACAGCTGGGGAGGGACATAAACCCTTGTAGACCATGCCTCCACTGATCCTTCTCCTCTGACCAAACCCCGCTTCCCAACAGTCCAACAGTACCATTCCTATGACCTTTCAAACACAGTCTTTAAGGCTCATTTTGGATTTAAATCATAACATTCCGCTCTGCCCCGGCCCCCCAAAGACTCATGTGCATCTTTTTATGTGAGATCCATTTAGTTCCTCTCACTCTTTTTTTTTTTTGGTACCGGGGATCGAACTGGGGTCCTTGTGCTTGAAAGGCAGGTGCCAGAACCACTGAGCTAAATCCCCGGCCCAATTTAGTTCCTCTCTTAAGAATTGCTAAATTAATTACGTTTTTTTTTTTTTGGTACTGGGGATCAAACTCGGGACCTTGAGCTTGTGAGGCAGGTGGTGGAACCACTGAGCTAAATCCCCAGCTCAGAGTTGCTAAAGTTTTAATGTTCCAGTATTGCTAAAAGTGTAAGTTGAGGCCAGGGATTTAGCTCAGTGGCACCTTGCCTGCCTCACAAACGCAAGGTCCAGAGTTTGATCCTGCTACTGAAGAAACAAATAAACAAACAAACAAAAAAAATTTTCAACTCAAAAGACCCCTTTGAGACTTGAGGCAACCTCTTAGCTCTGAACCCTGTAAAAATCAAAAGAAAATTAAACACTTTCAATACACAATGGCACAAAATAAACATTTCCTTTTGAAAGGGAGGAGGGGGAACAGGAGAAAGAAATTGGACCAAAGCAAGACTGAAACCCAGCAGAGAAAATGGTAAATCCTGTAGTTCCATGTCCAGTACCTGGGGCGAGTTGTGGTGAGATGTAAACTCCAAATGGCTTGGGTGGCCTTGCCCTTGCACTATTGCTGGTGGTTGTAGCTGGCTTTACTCACGTCTTGTGGTTTTTTCCCTTACCTTCCATATTCCTGGCTTATCTAAATTTCTGGGGTCTCCATTATACTTTTGGCTTCACTCTCAGCATCACACACTGGCCTGTCAGAGGCACACTGCCTGGCCTCCCAGATTTTCTGAAATCTTGGTAGAAATCTCCCTAAGCTCACAACTCTTGTATTCTGCACGTCCGTAAAACCAGTACCACCTTTGGCTCCAGCAGTAGCCAGACCCTTGATTCATGAGTGTAGAGGCTTCCAAGTATGTGATGACTGCGTTCTGTGAAAGGAATCTCAGATAACAATTCCCTTGGTGGCCTTTCTCAATCAAGGTACTCTGGGATTTCCTTCTCAAAAATGTTTCACTTTTCCACCCTTGAGTCTGCAAAGGGTGGCATCTGTTGGAATCATCCCATGCCCTCAAAGCATCCTTTGTATTGTGCTGATGTAAAGTGCTGTATTTGGCTTCTTTTTTGGGGGTACTGGGGATCAAACTGAGGACCTTGCACTTGTGAGGCAGGCTTGGTGCCACTGAGCTAAATACTCATCTTTTCAGCAACTAAGTTCTCTGTTTTGACTATATAGGCCCAACTCTGTAGAAACTTCCTTTCTGGTAAAACTAAAACTTTTAAAATCACTCAGTGGTGCCATTTGCTCTTGACTCTCAATTTAGAGTTGGCTGAAAGCTCCAAAAGTACTCATACCATAGCCTCAAGATTAGGGTGCCTTGAAATTTCCTCCACCAGATTAATTAATCTGCCTTTAATGCCTTTAATCTCAGTCTTTTGTAAAGTCTTAGGCATGAGCAAATTCTTCAGAGCATGACGTACATGGCCTGGAGTCCTTGTTCCCAAATGAAACTTCCTGAGCCTTGTCTTTACCATCTGTCTTTTTATTAGCATTCTGGTTGTCTGAGCTCTGACCAAAATCTCCCATCAAGCTTGGTTTACAGTGTTCTCGGGC